AAAATCCAGAAAATGTACCGATTAACTTCACGGAGCCGCAGAATCGCAGTTTTCTTTCTGAAATTCTTCAATAACGGGATTCTCCTCCAAAGAAGGTTATAAATATACTCACAGTTTCAGATGTCTAGAGTAGGAAAGTTTACTCCTGAAATAAAGATGAGTTAGATTTGAAAAACTCGATTTCTATGCATTTCAAACAGCTCCAGATGACCCGCATGACCAAAAGTCCACACTTATGTTTTAGTTTATAAGGTTCAAAGATGAGAGGACTTGGAATTTTAGTTTATACTTTTTCTAAGATCATGTGACCGAACTCAATATTCCTCACATATTGTAGACACCAATAGGATGCTCGATTGAGGCTGAGCCCTCCTTCCTCTCCTATTCGAATTGCCCTTCCGCCCTCATATGTTCAGAATATGGATGCACTTGCAAAGGAGAACATGAGATCGAATTCCCGGCCAAACACACAGACACACATACATACATTAACAGGTAGTAGACAGTCATAAGACGATGGTAACCAAATCTTAACATCTTATCTCTGAATAGAGCTCAATTATTAAACAGAGGTATAGAGCATGTAGTCTCTGAGCTGTAAGCCATTATTCTTTTGAATAGCACTTCTAGATGAATTACCTTTGCTGGAACGGGGAGAGCGTATCCTTCAGGAAAGTGGCATATACTTCCAAATGGACAAGGAACGCAGGGGAAGAATACGAAACTGGATCGTAAAGTGCTTCACCAAGTATTAGTCTGACGACTTGCGATGGGGGTAGATGTACAATCTGTAAATCAACACGCTTCAGTTCTGAATAAAACAATGGTAGCAAAAAAAAGACATACCTGAAAGGGAAGAGAAGCGCGATCGACTGACCGATTTTCCTCCATTAATTCTTTTTGTAGCGGGATATATTCGTCACTCAGAGGTATACATTCTTCAAGGACCTTAACTGTTGTCTCATAAAGTCGTAAGAGAAATTCATTTCGAGAAAAGTGTGGTAAATCGAAGACAGGCATCGCCTCTGATGCTCTAAGATGAGACAAAATTCTTAAAGGCATAAGGTATAAACTTTACAAAAATCCTGCGGATGGTTGTTTGATGGGTAAACGTCTCATAGAGGGAGCCCATATTCAAAGTGCTACTACTCTAACAAACAAGTTGACAGTTCGGTAACTCGTTCAACTGCAGATCCGTAGATGGAAATAAAATAAAATCAGAAGACACAAAACGGAAAAAACGAGCAAAATTTATGAAGAATGTAAGCGTGGAATACAAAAGAACATAATAATTGATCAAAGTTAAAAACTGCTGGCCTACCTCGTCGTCTGAGTAGACAACTGTGGGTGCTAAGCTCACATCACTTGGATATCTCAGCTGATACATGACCTCGCCGGTTCTGGCTAATTTCGTCACCACCTGGTCTCTGAGGGGTAAAAATACAGTTTGATTCCATTGCAATTCAGACCTAGTAACACTAACCTGAGACCGTGCACACAGTAGAGTACAAAGAATCTGAGGATGTTTGCTAAGAGAGATTCTAAGAGAACTTTTACTTGCTTTTCCGTCAATCTTCCTTTCTCTCTTATATCAGCAAAATCCTCCTCAGTCAAATGATCTGAACAACTCTAGAAAGCTTTTAAGAATTACAATAACGACGAGTACGAGCTTGTAACTGCATAAACCACTTCGCTTGTTTGACCGAACCAATTAGTTCCTATTTGCAGTACGTTTCTCGATCGAAGTCGAGAGCCTGAATCTATGGGAATTTTTGACAGTTTCCAGGCACTGTGAATGAGGTTACTAGTTAATACAGGGTGTCCCAAAATTATTTGCGCCAAAGTTCAGTAATTTTTAAGGTAGAAATAATCTATCAAATTCACATTACCTGTTATTAATTAGTTGCATAGGAAGGTTTCCTTGCAATATGCATGGTTAGTGATGTGGAACTCCCAATATCTTTCAGATGGAGGAGGCTCATTCAATGCC